CAGCTTTTGAACACATTTGCTTCTACTATATTTCAGTAGCATTGCAGGTTTTCTTATTGTGCATTGTTTCATTTTTATTTACCATTTCTTGTTGCCGTTTTTAAGAACATTTCACCCTCATAGATCAATATTATAGTATTCTGGTCTTGAAAACAAAGACATATGCCTTTAGTGTGAGTGATGTTTCAGACATTTGACCCCTAGTTGCTCCAAAAGTGCGCCCTCTGACAGCAGTTATGATTTGCTTTTGAGAAAAGCGTCTAAATGAGTGACAATTAATTAAACACAACTCTGACAATCTGAAAGCATTGTTGTATGGATCGTGTTGGACATAAGACGTTTTAAACGCGGTTCATTGTTTCAATGAAACCCCTACCAAGACGTGTAGATATCCAAAGTGACCAGTAGGCGTCACCGTGGGGACGGATGTCAAAACCACAACTGCCTCAGACGTTGCAAAACATCACTCAGACAGTGTGCAGCGTAATTCATTGGGAAAACATGGTAATTTAACTCCGTTATATGTGCCTGTATTTCCATGAGCAGCTGAGCGTTAACGTGGCTGCTTGTCTGTGTGGTGTTTGCAGGCAGGATGCAGCTCTTGGATGAGGTAGGTGGCTCTTAAAAGAGCCGTTGTGTTGTTTCCAGGTGTGGGTGTGTGAGTTTAAGCCCTCTCTCCGCGGATGCGTCGGGCCAGCTGTATGTCTTTGGGCATGATGGTGACCCTCTTGGCGTGGATGGCGCACAGGTTGGTGTCCTCGAAGAGTCCGACCAGGTAAGCCTCGCTGGCCTCCTGCAGAGCCATGACGGCGGAGCTCTGGAAGCGCAGGTCGGTCTTGAAGTCCTGAGCGATCTCCCTCACCAGGCGCTGGAAGGGCAGCTTGCGGATGAGCAGCTCGGTGGACTTCTGGTAGCGGCGGATCTCTCGGAGAGCCACGGTACCGGGCCTGTAGCGGTGGGGCTTCTTCACTCCGCCGGTGGCCGGGGCGCTCTTACGGGCGGCCTTGGTGGCCAGCTGCTTCCTGGGAGCTTTTCCTCCGGTGGATTTACGGGCGGTCTGCTTGGTCCTGGCCATTGTTGACGAGTCTCAGCTTTCTTCTTCAGAGAAGTAGTGATGAGCCCAGTGCCAGAGTGGCTGCTTTATATAGCGAGAGCTGGAGCGCGGGCAGCGCTGATTGGGCCAAATAGTCACGTGATACAGCGGGTCATCAGAGGGATGTAAAAAAAAAGTCTACACATAACTTTATTGACTGTTTTATTTGAAACGTCACATATACATACACTTATAAACATGCACAATTATACGTTTCGAATTTAAATTTTGTGTTTACTCACTTTTATATTTATTAAATTGTGGTTCAACCTTTTATTGACATGAAACTTTGTAGTGAAAAGCAAACTAGATCTAATCAGAGATTAGCGGTTGTTTTTTGTTAAATGTATAAATAGTTACAATAATGTTGACAACAACAGCAACGAAGGTGTAGTTTTATTTGAAGACATTTTCATATATTAAAGTTTAATTGTAATGTGAGGTTTTTAAACACCACTGGGAAGTTTAGCATTGATGTTTCCTGTAGTTTTGTCATTAAGTCCTATTAGAGTTAGTTTGCTAAAACCAGTTTTTGACCTGTTGTATCATAATTTAATTTGGATTTTATGTAATAACTCTGTAAGAGTTTGTTTTTTATATTACTGTATTTCCTTTTACTGTTCATGAAAAGCTTTTCTGCTTCCTGTGTTTTATCTTCTCCCCTTGTGAAAGGACTGTGTAAACATATAGTACTCTGTAAATAAATAAATATTGCTTACTTATAAAAAAAGGTGTTGATGCTTTCTGGACTGTATCTTTACTTTGATGTCTGTCCTCATGTTAAACTTTTCTTCCAGTTAGGAATCATAACATATTGTGAGAATAATCTTTGGAAAAAGGCCAAATATTGTGTCTTCCTCTCAATATTGTCCCACAGTAGGTTGACCGCACATTAATTATAGGCTGGAGGAGCTCAGTCTGTGCAGCATGAGTGTTTGGGAGCTACGCAGTTTGCTTCTCACCACTTTGTGTTAGTTTGTGATCTTTTCTAAAATGCTGCAGAACTCACTGCGTTGCTGTAAAACCGCTGTTGATGGCTCTGAATTAAATAAACTTCTCATCTCGTTCCCGTGTACTCACATGTGCTGGTCCGCAGGCAGACTCTCTTCTTACCGGATATATAAACGGGCTTAATAAAATGTATGCAGATGATTCGATTGCTTGTGATAAATATTTATAAATGAATGAGTGAATATTACCGCAGGGAACAAGCTGAACAGTCATTATGTACAAACAGACACATGGTTTAGTCTCAATATATCAGCGTACACAAAGAGAGGAAAGATCTCACTTTCCTGACTGCAGGTGCACAATTTCCCCTTTCAGCCGTTTGCACAGTTGGTTTTATTTCTTCCCCAGTAAAGCGCTTTGTGAACATGGACTTAGTGTGAATAAATATTACCTGTAAGAGGGAGTTGATATTTGATAGTGGGCCAAAATATTGTGTCTTCCAGTCATTTCACACATCATGACCTGCTGAAAAGAGAAAAAGCCAGAGGAAATCTGCCTTTGGAGTATTTGTGTGGCTCTTAAAAGAGCCGTTGGTGATGGAGAGGAGGTGTTTTTACTTCTTGGCTGTTTTCTTTGCTGCTGTGGCCTTCTTGGGTTTGGCAGCTTTGGGTTTAACCGCCTTCTTGGGTGCAGCTTTCTTGGGAGTCGCTGGCTTTTTGGGTGCAGCTGCCTTCTTCACCGCCGCCGCCACCGTCTTCTTCTTGGGGCTCTTGGTGACCTTCTTGACGGACTGTTTCTTGGCTGCGGCGGGTTTCTTCGCCTTCTTCGGGGTGGACTTTGCCGCTTTGGGCTTCTTGGCTGCGGCGGGCTTCTTGGCGGCGGCGGCGGGCTTCTTGGCTGCCGGCTTCTTGGCTTTGACGGCGGCCTTCTTCACTTCCTTCTTGGGCTTTTCGGCGCCCTTGCTCGCCTTGAAGGATCCGGACGCGCCGGTCCCCTTGGTCTGCACCAGGGCTCCTTTCACCACCAGACTCTTGACGGCGCGCTTGATGTGGACGGCGTTGTGGTCCACGTCGTAGCCTTCGGCGGCCAGCGCCTTCTTCAGCGCCACGTAAGAAAGGCCTTTACGGTCCTTGGAGGCGGACACCGCTTTCAGGACGAGCTCGCTGGCGCCGGGACCGGACTTCTTGGCCGGCTTGGCCGCCTTCTTCTTCGGGGCTTTGGCCGGAGCGGCCGCAGGGGCGGCGGGTGCAGCGGGAGCAACTTCTGCCATTGTGTTTTCCGTTCGCTTCTCTCGACGAGTCACAGACGACTGATGGAGAAAACTCCCAGCGAAGGGAGGAACTTAAACACACCGTGAGAACCGTGGAGACTCAGCCCGGCCTGCCTCTCACCGCTGCAGCAGGAACACCGCGACACTTGTGTTTTCTCCTCACCAATAAAAGTGCAAAATACACAGCTGGAGGAAGGATTAAAGTGTACAACTGAAGCCAACCTGGAGCGGACACGTTTCTCTTCACGTGGGAGTCAAATAAAGCGCTGAAGACATTTGGATTTGGATTGGGAAGCCTTTAAACCTCTCCCAAACACTGCCGTGTGGGCCGATTCTCCGGACTTTTCTCTCTAATTTCTCTCCTAAATGCTTTAAAATACATCAGAAACTCGCTAAAACCGGTCAGAGAGTGAGAAGATGTTTGTTCAAAGACCCAAATAAAAACAGCCCGCTCCTGTGGTGACTTTTGTTTTAAACAGAGCTTAGTTTGGTACCTGCAAACACACTCAGAGGTTCCTTGGAACAGCAACTGTGAAGTGCTGCGACGGACAGTCTGTCACTGTGTGCATCGTGAGTTTAATTCTGTTTTACAGTTCACTCCTACTGCTTCAACCTAAATCTATGTCTTAGTCATTAAAACGAATAAACATATAAATTAATATCTTCTTTGACTTTATCATCACTTTGGCCACATCTGTTGTGCTGCAGCAAACCAAGCTGCTCATGTGGCCCAAAGCCTTCAGGGAGCTGCAGAGAATCACATCATTTAACACGCAATTCAGTGTTTGCTATGAGATTATTTCAACTGTCTGTGCATTGCTTAATTGTTCATCGTACGTTTAGTGTTATTACTTGTACTAGTAGATAAATATCTTAACTAAAGCAAAAAAAAAAAACACAGGATGGTTTGAATTACCGTCAAATCAAAGGTCAGTTCATCTGTTTTACTTTTGCAAACCCAGCAAGCTGCTCATGTGGCCCCAGGCCTCCATAAAGTTGGAGTCAAGCCGAGAAACCCAGTTGAACCGGTTTCACAGTGAGACCTGTGAGGAAGGCCAGCTGGGTGGTGGGGATGGAGCTGGACAGTGTGGAGACAGAACTGACTGAAAACCATCACGGACAACGTCTCTCATCGTCTCTACGCTCACGAGCCCCTTCGGCCACGGACTCATCCAGCCTCGAGCCTCAAAGCGCTCAGGAGGCTCTTTGGACGCCACGGCACCCGACACCTCCCATCTCCACTGACAGACTAGTTTTGACTGACTTGTTTGCACATATAGTTTGTACATATCTTAAATATGTGTGCAAATCCTCGTGTATATATTGTACATACTTGATCCATATAATTTACATGAATACAAATCTATTTTTTGATGCACACATAAATATCTAATGTCATATTCTATTTGTCTTTATTTCATGATGATTATTCTTCTATAACAACTTGTATCTACATTTAGTCAATTTCATATTTTTGTTCATGGATTTCAGTCACGTGACTTTTTTGTTGTGGCCGCCATCTTTAGGACCGCTGCGCAGCGCCTCCTTCGTTAGAATGAATGATGTCGCACACTAAAATAGCACCCTCACCACCGACAAAAAGCTAATGATCCCAAAATTCATCATCTGGAGATGAAGAAAATGTTCTTGATCACAGGAAGGGTAAGTGTTTTATTCAAGTGATATTAACATTAACGT